GGTACCATCCCTCTGGATGAAAGCACCCAGATGAGCCTGGCTTAGGTAAGACACGAGGTTGAAAGGCAGAAGAAGCATCATCAGGTCAGAGGCGGAAGAGGTGCTTTGGACAGGCAAGACCCACTGCCAGACGCCTGAGGCAGCCAAACAGCGCTGGTCACTGTGGGCTGTGGGTAGCCGGCCGCTCTGGCAGCCAAGGACTTCCGCCTTCTCCCAGTGTCTGATGTCTCAGTTCTAGGCCTTGGGTGAGAGCGGCTGTCCCAGACGGTTGTTCAGAAGTCAGCGTTTGCAAGAGAAGCAAAAGAAGTGGTTTCGAGGCTGAGCGTGGTGGCTCAGGCCTGTAACCCCAGCACTTTGGGAGGCCGAGGCAAGAGGATTGTTTGAGCCCAAGAGTTCGAGACCAGCCTGGGCAACATAGCGAGACCTCATCTCTGAAGAGAGAGAGAGAGAGAGAGAGAGAGGGATTTGAATTGAGAGCAGCCAGAGAAATGAAGAGATGGCAAAGAAGAGTGAGCAGAGACAGAGTCCTCAAACAAGGATGCGCAAACTATCACGGAACAAGGGAAAGAACCGGGGCAGAGGAGGGAAGTTGCAAAGCTGGAGTCGATGGTAAGCAGACTCCTGGATGGCAGCCAGAGGGTGGTGAGGGGCTCTCCCGAGAAGTGGGGGAGGGGAGCAGAGCGAATCAACACCTCACCCCAGGGCCCTGCTCTCTGTCAGAGACGGCAGCTGGGGAGCCTGGGCAAGATGGCAGGAGGGGATGCAGAGCAGAGGCCACTAGGGGATGGAGGAGTCCTCTGGCGCTGACTTCACCGTGCCCACCACCTTTGTTGCTTCTTCAGGGGTCCTGGTGGAGCTGGTGTCTGCTCTACCCAAAGACTCGAGAGAGCTAGAAGACACCGACTCCCCACCCCAGGTCCACCCCAAGTCCCCAGTGCTCACACTGGCGGCTTCAGACCCACTTCTGAGATGCCTCCCATGTGAACGGAGCCTCACCCGGAGGCCACCAGCGTCTGGAATGCTCCGAAACACAGCTGGAAAGAGGGGACTCAGAAGAGCCTTTCCAGCAGAGGCCCAGGAAGGTAGATGAGAGGGGGCCACCCCCGGCAGCGGGCAGGTGTCCAGAAAGAGCCCAGAGCAGGTTTCTCCAGGGAGCTGGACACCGTGCCAGGCTGAAGGCAGACACACGCCTGCCACGCTGACTCAGGCCTCCAGGGGTGGCAGGGCCACGCCCGGGACTGGGGGAAGACTGACGTTCTTTCCAGCCGGGTCTGCCCATTACCAGCAAACACAGGATTTGCCTTCACTGCAGAATGTCTGAAAGAGCAGCTCTGGTGGGAAGGGGTGGGGGTGGGGGGGCAGAGAACTCGTTTAGGCAAGAAGCATCCAGCTGGGCCTCCACACCCACATCCCTCCACCAAGGACAGGACAGCAGAGCCGCTGGCTGATGAAAACTCTGGGCAGGAAGACTCCTGCTAGGGAGCTGCCCCCGTTGCCGGGTGGGCACCAGCTGAAGCCAGCCAGGGCCTAGCTGAAAGGAGGCCTGGCCTCCTATGTCCAGCTCTCACGAGGTGCTCAGTCCCCTGTGTAAGCCCCCTGGAGGGCCGTGCGCAAGGGGGCAGGAGCTTTCCCGGTCCCCTGACGGGAGGGCTGACAGCCGAGGGCACCCAGCAGCTGCTTTCTGAGGTGGCCTCACATCCCAGGGGCTCTGCACTATAGCCTGGAGCTGGCCTGGGGCTTGGACACAGCAGAGTATGTCTGTCCCACACAGAGAGCCCCTTCGGAGACTCTATTGTCACAGCCCCCAGGAGCGCGGTGGGGTGAGTTCCTAGAGCAGGCCTCGCTTTCTGCCCCCAGGACCCAGGCACTGCACCAGGAAGATGTCTGGGGACCGTGGACTGGGCCCTCAGCCTGGGGGATGTGCATCCTCTTCGATGCCATTCCTGACATACTCCTCCTTCCCTCGTGGGAGGAAACAGCCTCTCACAAATGGGACGCTGGAGCTTCTGGGGCGCCCAGAGCCTGGGAGGGGAGGGACACTCAACAGGAGCCCAAGCCCTCCCCAGAACCATGGCCCCGGGGGACGGAAGCACGTAGGCTCTGGGCAGGGCTGCCTGCCCACTGCCACCAGACTCCCCTCCCAGACCCTGGCCTTCTCCCCGGACTCCTGGGCACTGACCTTGGCAGCAGAGGCCCAACCCCGCCTCTCCTCCCCGAGCAGGACAAAGGCAGACACCCTAGCCCTCGAGCTCCTTCCCATCTCCAGCCTCACGCCGGCCGGCGGCCCCCTGACAAACCAACCAGGGACCGTGGCACTCAGAGCGAGAGAAGGGGGAAGTGGCGGAAACCGCCTCTCCCGGCCCCTCCTTTTAATTTCTACAGCCTGACGTGCAGGAATGTACTGGACTTTCTGTAATCCCGCAGAGAGGGCTTTATAAGCGCGAGGAGCCTCTGGGGATTAGGCGGTTTATCTAAAACCAGGCAGGAAGGTTCCAAGAGAATTAGGAGTGAGAGCCCAGATGTTCCGACTTGCATGCCGGGCAGCGCTGCCCTTTGCGGGTGAAGCCCTGTTTCTTCCGCCTGGGCTCCCACACACTTGCCACTTACCTGCAAGAGCTGATGCGTTTTCCTCAGAACACACTCTCTTGTGAAAAGGCCAGAGTGTGTGTGTGTGTGTGTGTGTGTGTGTGTGTGTGTGTGTGTGTGTGTGGAGTGGGGGACGCTGAAGGCGCACCGAGGTGTATTTGAGAAAAAGGCTGCTGTGCGGATGGAAGGGCCAGTGCCATGTGCACACATGGAAAGGGGCGTGCCAGGGTGTGTGGGCAGGGGGCCCCTGCGGTGTGCAGCTGTGGTCCACTCCCATCCACCCCCCAGCAGGAAGCCGACATGCACAGGGGAGGGGCTTACATGAAGCGACACAGCACGGGTCTATTCTAGGGGGCACCGGCACCAGGCCACACACAGGGACCAGCAGGAGAGCCGCCGTCACCCAGGCCTGTCCCAGAGAGAAGGCAGGGGTCGGCGTCCCACCCCGGGTGGGGGCCGCAGCTTCCTTCCCCATCAGAGGCTGCTGGGCATGAGGCCCTGCCCCTGAGGCTCGTGGGAGAGCAGGGAGCCAGTCCCATGAAGCCTCGGGTCTGCTGTGCATTTGCGGCGCCATCTGGTCTCTTTCTGGTACCGGGCACGGGCCGGTCTGCCCAGCTGGCCAAGTGGCTGGCTCTCTGGAAAGGGTCTCAGACATGGGTTCGCTCCTCCCTCCCCGGAGAGAGTCAGGTCCAAACAGGTTTTATTCCTCCCAACCCGGTGGTACGCTCGGGTGCTGGCTGGGCGGCTCTGATGCACACGTCATGACACTCGCACGACGGACACGACACAAACAACGGGCGGAGTCGCTCAGGCGGCCACAGGGGAGCCGGCACACCGGGACACCGCTGCATGCAGACACAGGGACGCGCGCAGAAGCAGGCGGGGCGGGAGGCGGGGCAGGCCCAGCCCGGCCGAGGCTCTGCCGGCCGGAGTCTCTCCTTCCGGCAGGGACTGTTGCCGGGAAAAGGGCCGGGACGCAGTCCGCCGGAGACAGGGAGGCGACACCCCCACACGCCACCCGGGAGCGGCCCAGGGAACTTCTGGGAGGGACTCTTCAGCAGGAGCCCGGCAGTGCCCTCTGCTGGGCGTGATGGGCTGGTGTGGCTAGGATGGGGAGCTCTGGCCAGGCTGGAGGTGGCAGAGGGAGGGGGGTGTGTGTGTGTGTGTGTGTGTGTGTGTGTGTGTGTGTGTGTGTGTGTGTGTCTGTCTCACCCTCAGAAGGTCGGAAGGGCGGAAATCTGGGCCTGCCAGGGATTCTGCTCAGGGAGGGCTCACTGTGCATTTTTCTGGGGTAATTGGAGGACGAGAAATTTCCATCTCCAATACCAACCTTCCTAACAACCCTCCACCCTGGGCTCAGGCAAGCTTACCTGGGTGCCTAAGAGAAGGGACATGAGGAACTGCTGCTCCCTGGACCCCCAGGGTGGTGTGCAGCAGGGAGCGTGCATGGCAAAGCGAGGCAGCTGCATGCTGGATGCCCCTGTTTCCCTGCCCGCTGCTGCCAAGGCCTGGGCTCCTGTCTCCCGGGCTCCCTGCACAGACCTGTGGGGCCTTAGGGGACGGGCGCCTGCAAGGCCCTGAGCTCCTGGGCCCTGGGCTTCAGTCTGTCCTGGGCCTTTCGTCTACAAGTTGGGGGCTGGCCCCTGCTCCCCAAAGCCCTGGGATTCTCCCTCACGCCCACGGGGCTCCTCAAGCCTGTACTTGCCCTAGAACCAGCTCCATATCCAAACTCACTGACCCACAGGTTCCATCCTGGAGGGTAGGAAGCAGGGGGCTCTGTAGGGGTGGAATCTGGGGGCAGGCTCCTGTGGGTGGGGCCAGCTGGACGGGACAGTCTGCAGTACGTGTGTGTGTGTTGTATGGGTGTGTATGTGATGTGTGTGTGGTATATGAGTATGTGTGTATTTTGTAACGTGTAGGTGGTGTATGAGTGTGTATGTGCGTGTGCGTGTGTGTATGTGTGTGTGGTATATGGGTGTGAGTGTGGTGTATGGGTGTGAATGTGTATTTTGTGGTATGTGGGTGGTGTGTGTGTGTGCAGAGGAACAACCGTGGGATATTAGAAGGAAAATGGGAAAAAGGATTGTGTACAAAAATGAATCATCTCGGGATAAAGTGTTTTCCCTGATGTGGATGGTGACGTGATTATATAATAAAATTTATTAGACTAGATAAAATCAAATGGGCAGAGTCGTGTCAGGGGGCTGGCGTGTCCTTTCCTCGCAGTGGAGGGAGGAGGGGAATGATTCTAGGAACTAAGACACCTGAGTAAAAAATGAGCCTGCTCTGGTGCGTCCAGAGGGGCTGGGGGTGCAGGGCCTGTCCCGGCCTCCGCCCCCCTGGGCCTAGTAGGGGTGAGCAGGCTCGGGCAGCAGCGACTCCCAGGAACTAGACAAATGGGACAGGAAACTGACCGGGGACGTTCTCTCGGTGGCTGCGCGGTGGGGAGCTCGTGGCGCCTCCCCTGCCGTCTCGCCTTCCTCCTCTTGGGGCCTGAGGAAGACACGGCCTCTCTTTACAAACAGTTGCCTCTCCGAAGCCAGGCTCCGCTGAGGCCCGGCCTCCCACGGCACCCCCAGGAGGGCCCCAAGCTCTCCCTGTCCAAAGACCCAGCCGTCTGGAGGGTGCTGTGAACTCCTGGCCCCAGAGGCTTCATCGGAAAGCCAAGGCCGGACTCCGGGCAGCAGGGCCGCGGGGCATGTGTCTGGGGGGCTCTGAGGGGGAGCCCCACCCGACAGCCGCTGCTCTTCACCCCCACTTCGTGCCAGGCCTTCCGGCCGCCTGGGATTGGAACACAAAAGCGTCTCTGACTTCACGCTCCAGACACTGTGGGCTTCTCTACCAAGTGGCCATGGGTGAGAGGTCAGACGTGCCCTGTTCCAACACCAGGCTGGGTGATGAAAGGCACCCCCACCCCCTTGGTGGAGCCCTGGGCTCCCCGACACACGGCCACCACTCACCCTGTCTCCTCCGTGGGTCCCTCTGGGGTCTGGCGTTCTTTCAGCTCAAGCTAGGGGAGGAAAAGGCTGGGGGTTAGAGCAGCTGGCGGGGAGTCCCGCATCCCACAAACCTGGTGGCTGCTCTTCCTGGAGTCAGCCCCTTGTGGTTTTTGTGTTCAGAGATGAGTACTTCTTGCGACCTTTCTTTCCTTCCCACTCTCCCTGCTGGCTTTTGAGTCTTCTTTTTTTACGTTCTTTTTTAGAGAAAGCTCTGTTACTCAGGCTGGAGTGCAGAGGCATCATTGTGGCTCACTGCAGCCTCGACCTCTGGGGCTCAGGCAATCCTTCCTCCTTAGCCTCCCAAGTAGCTGGGACTACAGGCATGCGCCACCAAGCCTGGTTAATTTTTAAAATTTTTCTTAGAGATGGAACTCTCACGGTGTTGTCCAGGCTGGTCTTGAACTCCTGGCCTCAAGTGATCCTCCTGCCTTGGGCCTCCCAAAGTGTTGGAATTACAGGCATGAGCCACTTCCCCTAGCCCTGGCCTAGAGTTCCTGCCGTGAGCCCCTCAGGGCATGGCTGCCACCCCCCCAACCTTCCAGCGCTATCCCCACTTACTGTGGTAGGCTTCTCCAGGGCAGCAAAGCGCTCTGCCCAGCTGGCTGTGGATTTCTCGAAGGCCTCATGCCTCTTAATGAGCTTCTCCACACTGTCCACCGTGTGTCCAAAGTCCCGGCTGGCCAGGTAGGGCTCCTGGGCGATCAGCCACGCCTCAGCCACGGAGGCATCCCGCGAAAACTGGCACACCTCCAGCACTGCCACAGGAACAGGCACAGACCCCCACAAGGCCCAGGGCCCATCAGAACCCAACGGTCCACTCTTGCCGGGGCCTGGGGCTGGCTCAGTGGCAGGACCTGGGAGCTGGTGGCCAGTCAGGAGGCCTGCACAGGTGTCCCTACAGACACCTCCACACCGGAGGACGCTGCACCCTACATCGGGCCCCTCGCCTATCTCCATCAGCAGCTATTATTATTATGTTGTAAAGAGGAGGTCTTGCTGTGTTGCCCAGACTGAACTCGAACTCCTGACCTCAAATGAGCCTCCTACCTTGGCCTCCTCAAGTGCTGGGATGGCAGGTGTGAGCCACCGTGCCCCTGACCAGTAGTTATGTTTATAAAATACGTTAATGAGAGCAAACTCTGTGTGGAAAACAAAGTGTCATTTGGGATGCCTCTCTCTGAGGAGCAGTCTCCTGCCCGGGGTGTTCCTCCCAGCCTTTGGCTGTCTCACGGGGCTGTCGTGGACAAAGAGCTGGGGCCGGTCTGGCCTGGCGACTCGTGGCCCGTCCCTGGGTGGTGGGCTTCTCCCCCTCTCCTCGGCGCCCAGTTGCAGGGGGCCTGGGCCCTGCTGTCCCAGCCCGGCCTGACACGTGTCTGGGAGGCACTAGGGCTTTGCAGGGACCCCAGGCTGGGGATGAGGCTGGGGATGGGGGCCGAGGACAGGCAGGGAGCAGGAGCAGGCGGACGGGCTGGGCGGGGGCGGGCTTCCAGCAGCATCGGCTGGGGTCTCCTGCCTGCGCCACCAGGCCCTGGCCCAAGGCTTCACGCCCCACCCTTCCCCTCCTCCCATGGGGTCTGGCCCTGCCCTTCCCTGGCTGCACTCACACATGCGCAGTCGCTCCCAGCGGGCTTCCCACTTCTCGTCCATCTCCTTCCTCCTGGACACCACCTGCCGCAGCTTCTCACTGATCTGTGGGAAAGGGGAGAGAAGCGCAGGTTTTGTCACCCCCGCCCCGGCAGAGGCGGTGCACAGATGCGTCCTGAAAAGCACACCAGGCTCGGCCACATGGTTCTGGTTTCAAGCCTTGGCCCAGCTACTGGCCCGCTGTGCTGCCTTGGGCAAGTTACTTGACCTCTCTGGGGCACAGGCACCTCCCCTGTGAAGTAGGGTTGCCAGCTCCAAAGTGTGTGCAGGTGTGGGTGTCAGGGAGGGTCTGAGCTGGCTCTCCCTTACTGGGCAGTCGGCTCCCCGGGGCGGGGGATGAGCTTGGGGTGGCCCCGACTTCCAGGAGTGAAAGAAAGACAGAGGCCCCGAACGCCCTTTGGGGAGGCTGCCCGGCTGGCCTGGTGGGACTGGGACAGGGAGGGGCCCTGCAAACACTCTCACCTCCTCCGAGGCCTGGTGCTGCCGCTGCAGCAGGGACTCTCCCAGCTCCAAGCAGGCACTGAAGTTCTTGCTGCGGGTTTCGATCTCAGCCCGGATGCCCTGGTGGTACTTCATGAGCAGCTCCACGGAGGAGACATCCCTGGGGCGGGAGGACAAGAAAGAAGGAAACCCTGGCCCTTCTGACCTGCCTCTGAGCCTGGACCACAGGGACCCCCTGTCCCCACCTGCAAGAGTCTGATCCCTGCTGGGCTCCCGCTGGCCACATGCCTAACACCATTCCCCCATGGTCGAGTAGCCCTTCCTGAGCTTTGGGGGAGGGCCTCGCCACATCCCAGGGCAGGAGGAAGAGTGAACAGCCTTGGGCCTGCCCAGCGTTGGACATGCAAGTCGCTTGTTTTCACTGTCCCCATGGGAGAATTTGAAAGACAAAGTCTTTCTCCCCACACTTAGGACTCTTACTCTGAAGTGGTCCGTCCTCCCAGGGGACACCAAGCCAGTCCATCTCTGTGGGGACCCGGCCTAAGCCCCAGGTGCTCCCAGCGATTCCCACACACCCAACAGTGCACAACACCACGCCTGGCTAATTTTTTCATTTTTGTAGCAACGGGCTCTCACTTTGTTGCCCAGGCTGGTCTTGAACTCCTGGCCTCAAGTGATCCTTCCGCCTTGGCCTCCCAAAGATCTGGGAGCCCTGGCTGGCCAGCCTCATCTGGCATGGAGCAGTGCTGCCTCGGGACGCCCCCTCACCTGGGCCTCTCCTGGGTCTCGATCTGCCGGATGATGGTCTCCATCCAGGATAGGAGGTCGCGGGCCATGCTGAAGAAGCGGAACTTGTCTGCTGTGTCCACGAGCTGCGTCCGGCGCCCGGCACAGGCGTCCAGCAGCGCCTGCCACGCGTCAGACACATCTTGCTCCTTTTTCTGGATAGCGTCGGCCTTCTCCCCGGCATATGCCGTCTGCAGGCGGGTGGCCACGTCCTGGAACTGCTGTACCTGTGGCCAGGCGAAACCAGACGTTTTTCCCCGGACATCATTCCTTAGGCATCACGGGCCTAGGACCAGAAGGGCCTCTGTCTTCTCCGGGCCTCCCTTCCCAGGGCACTGCAAAGGTAGGGCCTTCAGCCTCCACCCAGCAGGTGCCGTAGGAGAAGTCACCTGGCTTTCACACCTCCGCCGACCCAAGGTACCTCTCGGGCTCTGATGAGGATTTGGGAGTGAAAGGGACTTTGTGCCCTTGGACCTCCTCAGTACAGTAATGAGAGTACCTACCCACCAGGTACTGTCTTGAATTAATTGATTGATTGATTGACTGATTGACTAAGACAGGGTCTCACTCTGTTGCTCAGGCTGGAGTGCAGTGGTGCAATCTTGGCTCACTGCAGCCTCTAACTTTTGGGCTCAGGCCATCCTCCCACCTCAGCCTTCTGAGTGCATGCCATCATGTCTGGCTTTCTTTTTTTTCACTCTTTCGCCCAGGTTGGGGTGCAGTGGCACACTCACGTGCACCGCAGCCTTGACCTGCTGGGCTCAGTGATCCTTTCATTTCAGCCTCCAGAGTAACTGGAACTGCAGGTGTGAGCCACCACGCCCGGCTAATTTTTTCATTTATTGTAGAGACGAGGTCTCGCCAAGTTGCCCAGCCTGCTATGGAACCCCTGGGTTCAGGCAATCTTCTCACCTCTGCCTCCTAAAGTACTGGGATTATAGGCATGAGCCACCATGCCTGTCTGCTTTTATTTTTGTAGAGATGGGGGTCTCACTTTATTGCCTAGACTGGTCTTGAACTCCCAGGTTCAAGTGATCCTCTTGTCTTGACCTCCCAAAGAGCTGGGACGACAAGCATAAGCCATCGTGTCCAGCCCACTCTCTGTTCATGAGCTCTCTTCATCTTTTTTTTTTTTTTTTGAGTTGGAGTCTCACTCTGTCGCCCAGACTGGAGTGCAGTGGCCGCTCCCAGCCACCGCAGCCTCGACCTGCTGGGCTCCAGCGATCCTTCTGCCTCAGCCTTCCAAGTAGCCGGAATTACAGGCATGCGCTACCACGCCCGGCTGATTTTTTGATTTATTGTAGAGATGAGGTATCGCTGCCCAGGCGGGTCTCGAACCCACGGGCTCAGGCAATCCACTCACCTCAGCCTCCCAAAGGCGCGGGGTTACAGGCTGAGCCACCGAGCCCGGCCAAGCTCTCTTCATCTTTAAAATAGTACCATGAAAGAGGTGCTATCAATATGCCTGTTTTTGAGATGGGGAAACTGAGGTATGGGGATGCTGTGTAATTGCCTCATGGTCCCTCACACTAGTAAAGGAATACAGCTGAGACTTGTATTGGGCTCCTGAGTCTTTGAACTTTTTGTTTTTGTTTTTTTAAAGATAGGGCCTCACTTTGCTCTGTCTCCCAGGCTGGAGTGCAATGGCACGATCACAGGTCACCACAGCCTCCAACATCTGGGCTCAAGGACTCCTCCTGTGTCAGCCTCCTGAGTAGCTGGGATTACAGGCACACACCACCACACCTGCCTAATTTATTTTTATTTTTGCAGAAATGAGGTCTTGCTATGTTGCCCAGGCTGGTCTCAAACTCCTGGTCTCAAGCGATCCTCCAACCTCAGCCTCCCAAAGTGCTCGAATTACAAGCATGAGCCACTATGCCTGGCCAAGTCCCTGTTCTTAAGCACTCTGCATGCTGCCTCTCCAAGGAAGGGGTCACCCCAGATCTCAATAAACAAGGAAACCTCACTTTTGAGACCTCAGAGGGGCTACATCTGTCTTAGGGGCTCTGGCCCCAAGTATAACAGCTATACACCAGCCTCCCCCCCACCGCCTGACAAATCCCCAAGAGCCCCTTTTGGGTGAATCAGGGGTCCTGCCTCCCTTGGTATTCTGTCCCTGAGCCCTGCCAGGCCAGCCCAGGACACAGGGCTCAGGGACAGAACTGCACAACCAGCTCGCTACTCGTCTTTACTACACTGGAAGCTGAGGAGCCCTGGTATTTGCCCTTTTTATCACTCCGAGCTCTGGGGAAGCCTAGGGGTCCGTGGAAGGGCTTGGGGGCTGCCCCAGTCGTGGTGGAAGGATCTAAGAGGCAGATCGCAGGGGCCCTCCAGCTCTCCATAAGGAAAGGCTAGCCCACCGGGCAGCTGAGCCCGTGGGGTCTGTAGCCAGCCCAGCAGGGTGGGAGCCCCAGCTCCAGGGCATTGCCGCACCGTCTACCACCTCCCTTTCTTTGCCTACATAATGCAAGCATGTTAGCAGCTGCCTCGGAGGATGGCTATGGGGGTTCAGTGGCTACACACGCTGCTCAGAGCAGTTCTAGCTGCAAGAAATGTGCTATGTGTGGGTTCGCTAATAATATCGCACAACCAGAGAAATTGCACCGTGAGCTGTTTTGTGCACTGGCTTCCATGAGTATTCCATTTAGAAAACTACTTTTTTTTTTTTTTTTTTTTTTTTGAGTCAGAGTCTCACTCTCACCCAGGCTGGAGTGCAGTGGCATGATCACGGATCACTGCAGCCTCAAACTCCTGGGATCAGGCCATTCTCCTGCCTCAGCCTCCCGAGTTGTTGGAACTACAGGTGTGCACCACCACGCCCAGCTAGTTATTTTGATTTCTTTTGTAGAGGTGAGGTCTCACTATGTTGCCCAGGCTGGCCTCAAACTCCTCAGCCCAAATGACCCTCTGTACCCTGGCCTCCTGAAGTGCTGGGATTACAGGCGTAAGCCACTGCGCCCAGCCTCGAGAACTACTGCTGAAGCTAAAGAGTATCAAAGCCACTGCCCTTGCCCTGAGCTGCTGGCTCTCTTAGGTGGCAAATCCCCTGCACCCATTCTAAAGCCCCCCCCAGACCCCCAGGGAAGACCGGAAGGCAGGCCCCTGAGCCCACAGGAGGTGGTGAGGGTGGGAGGCACCTGCACGCCCAGCAGGTGCAGCTCGCGCTCAAAGGCCGTGTGCACGCGGTGGAAGGACTCGGCCGTGCTGGCATCCAGCCCCACGTCCTCGGGCAGCTCACGGTGCTTCTCGTCGATGAGGCCCAGGATCTCGGCGCCTGTGTAGAAGTAGCGGTGCAGGTCGTAGGAGGCGGCCAGCAGCTGCATGCGCGTGTCGATGAGCTCCAGCAGGTCGGCCCACATCTCGTTCAGCCCGTCTTTCCACTCGGCGATGGTGGCCGCCTCGCCGTGGCCGGCGTCGATGAGCCGCTCAATGATGGCGTTCACGTTGTCCACCCGCTCCTGCCCTATGGCCCCTGTCTCCCGGGCGAAGTCCCGGAACTTATCCCGGAGCAGCTGGATGGGTGGGGCAGACAGAAATGTGGTTATGGGGGGCACAGGGGCCAGGAGGCATCACCGGTCAGCCGCAGGCTTTCCCAGGAGGCAGTTACGGTGCCTGCTGGTCGCGCCTCGCATTGAACCACTGCGTCCCACGCCGCATCCTGAGGCTGGCGGGGCGTTGTGTGCCTGCAGGGGTGGCTGGCTGTGTCTACTCACAGTGACATGGTCAAAGTCCTGCCCCATTTCGGGGGAGGAGGCCACCAGCTCCTTCTCCGCGATCCACTGCTCCAGGTCATCCGCCTCCCTCTTCAGCTGGAACAGGTGGTACATATTCTCCAGCTTGCGCCTGCGCTCCTCGGCCATGTCCTTCAGCCCCGCGTACTGCTTGTCCACTTGACCCTGGAGTCGGATGATCTGTTCCCTGAAATTCAAACCAAGAGAGTCTCAGAGACGGCAACCACGAACTCAGGTGGCAGCTCGGAGGAGCCTACCTGCTCCTCCCCAGACCCCAGCAGGAACGGGCGGGGAGCGACTTGCAGAGAAATAACAGGGGCTTTGTCCAGGGAAGGGCTGGGGGGAGAAGGAGCCGCTCCCTGGGCCTTGACACCTCGGGGGACCACAGAACTATGTCCTGAGCTCTGTCCTGGAGGGGTGCCCCCACTGCATCCCTCCCTCTGAGAAGCCCCAGAGACAAGTGCGGACGGTGAGCTTCTCTGTTATTCTTCCAAGGAGGTGGATGGAGCAGCCCTGTGTGACCCACAGCAGTGGCTCTGCTCAGCCCCTCAGGGAGGGACAGGGCGTACCAGGGCCTCAGGCCGTGGGGCTCCCAGGGAGACATCTGGGGATGCAGCTGTACACAGGGTCACAATGGGGGAAGCCTGCAGTATTTGGCCTGGTGGGCTCCCATTTTTTGCAGAATCTGCACAGCTCAACAGTTCAGATGGGTATTGGCTTTCTTTTTTATTTTTTGAGTCAAGGCCTCACTCTGTCACTCAGGCTGGAGTGCAGTGGCACACTCATGGCTTACTGCAGCCTTGACCTTCTGGGCTTAGATGGTCCTTCCACCTCAGTCTCCTGAATAACTAGGACGACAGGTGTGTACTACTATGCCCCACTAATTTGTTGATTTTTTTTTTTTTGTAGAGACGAGGTTTCACTATGTTGCCCAGGCTGGTCTCTAACTCCTGGCCTCAAGCAGTCTTCCCGCCTCAGCCTCCCAAAGTGCTGGGATTACAGATGTGAGCCATTGTGTCTGGCCAGGTGTCAGTTTTCTACCTTCCCTCCCATATAATGATTCTGCTGAGACACTGTGAAGTCTGGAAGTACCTGCTGGACTGTAACAGGCAAAGCAAAAGCAGTCTTCCACAGCCGTTTGCTAAGAGTTGCTATATTCCACCTCTTAGGAAGATTGGCCTCTCAGTTTGCCAAGAGGGTAGTATCGCTACTCTCATCTCTGATGTTTTTGCAAACTGGGCACTTGTTGGCCCAGCTTTGAGTCACCCTCAGGAAACCAAGGCAGCTTGGTGACATCGGGCTATCCAGCAGTCCCGAGGCCATCGCCTCAAACCCTGTTTGGGAACAGCTCTTCCATTTCCCCCTCCCAGACCTGAAGGGACGCTGGTGGGTGGGGGCCCAGCCCGGTGCCCACCCCCTGGCCACGTCGTGCCAGGGGCACACGCACCCCTCGGGGTGGCCCGCAGACAGCAGGCCCTGGGCCCGTCCGGCCAGCTGCTTGATGTTCCTCCCATACTCCTCCACTGCGCGTTGCTGCCGCAGATGGCGCTTCAGCATCACGATGGCACCCTCTTCATCCTGGGGGCAGCAGACAGTCAGCTCCAGAGTTAGCCTGGCTGTGCTCCCTCCCCTGGAAAGTTCCAGCCCCGCTTCTGAAGGTTCCGAGGGGGAGGAGGGCCAGGCTCGTGGGATACCCTATGGACAGCCATGCCCACTCCCATCCTGCTACTCTGATTGCCCAGCAATGCCCATCCCGCACCTTCCTCTCCCGACTCCCTGGTGTTTTTTTTTGTTTTTTTTTGTTTTAAGAGACAGTGTCTTGTCCTGTCTGGAGTGCAGTGCAGTGGCACAATCGTAGCTCACTGCAGCCTTGAACTCCTGGGCTCAAGCAGTCCTCCTGTCTCAGCCTCCTGAGTAGCTGGGACTACAATCCCAGCCTTACCCAGCCAACTATTTTATTTTTTGGTAGAGATAGAGTCTTGCTATGTTGCCCAGGCTGTCTCAAACCCCCTCAAGCGATCCTCCTGCCTTGACCTCTCATGGGAATACAGGCATGAGCCACGGCTCCCAGCCTCCTCTGATGGTTCTTATCTGGTATTTGCCTTCCTTCTAGACCCACCTTCAAGCTCTGTCCCTGTGAAAACTTTCTTTATCATACCAGCTTCAAGAGACTCCCTGTCTCACCTCCCACCCCCACCCATGGCAGTTCACCATTCCAGAATCCATGGAAAAGTGGGGAAGCCTCGGGTTAGAGCCGATCTAAGGGGCAAGCGGGTGCCTGGCTGCAGCAGGTGCTTTAGAAAGCACCAAGGTGAGCAGGGAGACGGGAGGGGGCAGTTTCTCTTCCCTTCCCGCCCTTACTCCACCTGCCTGGGCCACCCCACTTCTCCCCTCCACCCAGCAGACCTTGGGGGTCTCATCGGAGATGACATAGAGTTCCTGCTCCCCTATCCAGGCCTCGGCCTCGCCCGCATCCAGGTAGTACTGCTGGGCCTCGTTGGCATCCCGCAGGCGCTGCAGCCGCGCCGCCGCCGCCTCCCGTAGCCGGTCCCACGAGGCCTGCAGCTGCCCCAGGCGCTCCTCCAGGTCCTGGCAGTCGATCTCGGCTGCCTGCACCAGCTGCTGCCCTCTCCGCAGCACGTCCTCCACCCGCGGCGCGTGGCCCAGAATCTCGTTCTGCAGCGTCTGCGGCCAGAAGCAAGGGCTGGGCAAGGCCTTCCCGCCGTGGGGAGGGCAGCCCGACACCCTCGGCCCCTGCCGCCCCCTCCCGCTGGAGCAGAGTGGGCAACAGTCATGAGAACCGCCACTGGTGGCAGGTGCTGGGTGCCTCAGGGGTGCCTTTCTCGCTCCCTCAGATACACTGCCAGGATAAGCGCTTGGCAGGTGCGCCCTCAACGGGGTGCCTTGTTGGCAGAGCCCAGCTGGAACGCAACTCCCTCGACTCCAAGGCCAGGGCTCCCGACTGTTCCCTCCTCCTTCTGTGCTTCCACAGGGCTTGGTTTCTCAGCTGTCTGTGTCGGAAGGATTTTCAAGAGGCCTTTTTGATACCTCACAGCAGCAGTTTTTGAGCTATATAAAAGAACGGGGTGGCCGCCCCTCATCTGGAATCTCAGACTTGGTTTGGCTTTTCCTCATTCCTATTTCTCAAATTTTTTGTCAGTTTTGTATTATTTCCTGTTGGAGCCTTCAGTCACTAAAATGGCCTTTTCCTCCCACCCTGGGGACTGGGTCACCTATTTTCGGGACACCCTGACAAGTGTGTTATTTGCTTCCTGGGACTTGGGACCGAGGCTTGCTGCTGCCAACATGCGGGCTCTTGGGCTCTGTGTACTTTTGTTTTGTTCCTCATATGATTTCCCTGCAGCCTTTAAAGTTGTGTGGAAGGCAGGGGTGAGAACAGCTTACAGGAGCAGTGTGGTGGCCACATGTAAAACACACATGAAATAGCCATGTCCATGGGTCAGCTGATCTGCAGAAATGCATTTCTACTCTGTGCTCGGAATCTCAGTTTCGACAATTTCTCATGGTCCCTGCAACTGCCTTCAAACAATTTTTGGCTCCATTTGCTGTATTTTCCCTGAAGTCTAATGACCTCTGCATGGTGCCCTAAAAAGGTCTCTCTCTCTCTCTCTCTTTGAGGTGTAATCTCATTCTGTCGCCTAGGCTGGCATGCAGTGGTATGATCATATCCACACAGCCTTGACCTCCTGGGCTCAGGCCATCTTTCCGCCTCAGTTTTCCAAATAGCTGGGACCACAGGGGCATGCCACCATGCCTGGCTAGTTTTTGGATTTTTTTTTTTAAGAGACAAGTTCTTACTATGTTGCTTTGGCTGGTCTTGAAATCCTGGCCTCAAGCAATCTGTCTAAGCTTCCCCAAGTGCTGGCATTACAGGCGTGAGCCACTAAGCCCAGCCTTTCTCTTTCTTTCTTTCTTTCTTTTTTTTTTTTTTTTTTTGAGTTGGAGTCTCACTCTGTCACCCAGGCTGGAGTGCAGTGGCACGCTCACAGCCACCACAGCCTCGACTTACTGAGCTCCGGTGATGCTTCTGCCTCAGCCTTCCAAGTAGCTGGAACTACAGGCGCGCTAACTACCACGCCCAGCTAATTTTTTTCATTTATTGTCGAGACGAGGTCTCACCAAGTTGTCACGGCTGGTCTCAAACCCCTAGGCTCAGGCAGTCCTCTTACCTCCATCTCCCAAAGCACTGGGATTACAGGAATGAGTCACCGCGCCCAGCGCTTTTTCTTTATACGCAATTACTTGCTAGTCCAGTCCCTTTCATTCATCTGTATGAGACCCTGTTCTGGGGCAACACAGAATAAGCAAAACCCCTGCACTCATAAGGTTTACAATCTAGTCAAGGAAACAGAAAGTAAGCATGTCAGCACATGAATAAATAAAGACTCCCTGGGTGCTGGGAGGAAAATCTGACAATGCCACGGAGAATGTCTGCCAAGGGGTGGCAGTAGCCGCTTAGCTGGAAGAGTCTGGCGGCCCTTTCTGAGGAGATGACATTTGACCAAGACATGAATGATGAGGGAGGCAACCACACCGAGATCTGGGGTGAGTGTTCCTGGCAAGAGGAAGGAGGAGGCGCAAAGGCCCTGGGGTAGAAATGAGCAGGACTGTCTGAAGGCCAGAAGAGCTGGAAGGCCAGGAGGGAGGGTGACAGAAGACATGAGGTTCAGAGTTAGGCAGGGGCCAGGTCAGGCAAGATGGTGGTTCTCAATCCTGACTGTCCATTGAATATTCCAGGAAAACAGACACAGTGAGTTCCCATCCCTCTCCCCTCCGCCAGAGAGCCTAATAATTGATCTGAGGTGGGACCCAGGCATTTGTCTTTTCAAAGTTCCTGAAGTGACTCGACTGTGCAACCCGGGGTGAGAACCATGCAGGCACCACCTGTAGGCTTTGTTTGAATTGCAGGGGCTGGCCATTCGAGTGGAGTTCTGAGGTGGAGCCCTGAGCTGGCTGCCTCACCTGGGGTCTTGTTAGAAATGCCAGGCTCCCACTCAAAAAAAAAAAAGAAATCCAAGTTCCTGGTCAGGTATGGTGGCTCAGCCTGTAATCCTAGCACTTTGGGAGGCTGAGGTGAGAGGATTGCATGAGCCCACAGGTTCAAGACCAACCTAGGCAACTTAGTGAGACCTCATTTCTACAATAAATCAAAAAATTAGCCAGGCATGGTGGCGCGTGCCTGTAGTTCTAGCTACTTAGAAAACTGAGGCAGAAGGAGCACCTGAGTCCAGTAGATCGAGGCTGCTGTGGCAGTGAGCATGCCACTGTACTCCAGCCTGGGTGACAATGAGATGCCAACTCAAAAAAAAAAAATAAAATAAAATGCGGATCAAAGAGTCCGGGTGAGTGAGTCCGAAACATTTTCTAACTAGACCAGTTCTCATTTCCCAACATTGTTCATTTTTTTACATATGTGTAGTCTGTGGTTGTGAGCTCACTGGTTTCTGTCCCAATATTTTAAAGACTGTGAGGAAAGGCATATAAAGGGAAGACTCCTTTTTTAATTTAATTTTTTTTTTTTGAGTTGGAGTCTCACTCTGTTGCTCAGACTGGAGTGTAGTGGCCACTCCCGGCCATCACAGCCTCGCCTGCTGGGCTCCGGCAATCCTTCCGCCTCAGCCTTCCAAGTAGCCGGAATTACAGGCATGCGCTGCCACGCCCGGCTGATCTTTTGACTTATTGTAGAGATGAGGTCTTGCTGCCCAGGCGGGTCTCGAACCCGCGGGTTCAGGCAATCCACTCACCTCAGCCTCCCAAAGGCGGAGGATTACAGGCTGAGCCACTGAGCCCGGCTAAGACTCCTTTTTTTAAACATCTGCTGTTTTGGCCAGGCACGGTGGTTCAGCCCATAATCCCAGCACTTTGGGAGGCCAAGGCGAGAGGATTGCCTGAGCCTGGGGGTTAGAGACCACCCTGGGCAACTTGGTGAGAACTTGTCTCTACAATAAATCACAAAACTAGCCAGGAGCGGTGGCGTGTGTCTATAGTTCCAGCTGCTTGGAAGGCTGAGACGGAAGGATCACCAGAGCCCAGGAGGTCAAGGCTGCGGTGGCTGTGAGCGTGCCACTGCACGCCAGCCTGGGCGACAGGAGTGAGACTCCAACTCAAAACAAAACAAAACAAACAAAAAAAGAAATGCAAGTTCCCAAGTTTTCCACCCTCAGAGTTTGACTCTGGGCCTGGGCTGGCACTTGGTTCACTGTGTAATTGATATTTGGAGACAAAGTTTCAGTCTGTCACCCAAACTGGAGTGTAGTACCATGGCTCACCACAGCCTCAAACTCCTGCGGCTCAAGCAATCCTCCTGCCTCAGTCTCCCAAGTACCTGGGACTACAGGTGCATGCCACCATGCCCAGCTAATTTTTCTATTTTTTGTAGAGACAGTTTCACTTTGTTGTCCAGGGTGGTTTCAAACTTCTGGCCTCAAGTGATCCTCCTGCCTCTCAAAGTGCTGGGATTACAGGCGTGAGCCACTGTGCCCAGCCTGGGTCACTGTGGGGTTTTTTTTAGGTTTTTTTTTTTGAGTGAGTCTCACTCTGCTGCCCTGGCTGGAGTGCAGTGGCACACTCACGGCCACCACAGCCTCGACCTGCTGGGCTCAGGCGATCCTTCCGCCTCAGCCTTCCAACTAGCCACAGGCATGTGCCACCACGCCCAGCTAATTTTTTGATTTATTGTAGAGATGAGGTCTCACCATGTTGCTCAGGCTGGTCTTGAACCCGGGGGCTCAGGCAATTCCCTCACCTCCACCTCCCAAAGGGTTGGAATTACAGGCATGAGCCACTGTGCCCGGCTGGCTCACCTTGTTTTAACAGGCCCTGGGGTGAATGTACACTGGAGTTTGAGAGCCACTGCAGAGAGAGCTTTAAGCGAAGAAAGGATAAAAGTGGATGCATACTTTGGCCAGGTGAGCCTGTCGTCGTCTTTACTAGGGCAGTCATGTGCTTCCAAGAGGCTGCCTGTCCCTTCTTAGGTAGGGGAACCCCATCAATATTCCCTTTTCCTAAAATAGCAACTGCCACCCAGGGGAGTCAAACCCCTTTGGACAATAACACTTACTGAGGCTGGGCAGAATCAAACATCCTCAGTGTTAGAAAGGCTGGACTTGGTTCATTTTACAGTTGAAAAAACTGAGGCCCCAATGATACTGTCTCCTATCAGCCTTCCTTTTTATTTTATTTCTTGAGATAGGATCTTGTGCTGTTGCCCAGGCTGAAGTGTAGTGGTGCAATCGTAACTCACTGTAGCCTCAACCTCCTAGGCTCAAGCGATCCTCCCGCCTCAGCCTCCCAAATAGCTGGGACTACAGATGTGCACCACCACACCCAGCTAATTTTTTTTTTTTTTTTAGAGATGGGGTCTCACTATGTTGCCCAGGCTAGTCTCGTACTCCTGGCCTCAAACAACCCTCCCAACTAGGCATCCCAAAGTACTAGGGTTACAGGCATAAGGCACTGGGTCAGATTCTAGCCTTTTCCCTTTGACTGAAGGTTGCGGCATTAACTGAGCCCAGATCGCTATCATTTTCTAGCCCAGATCCCTGTGTGTGACTGCTGGGGCCTCTGTGACTAGATCATGCCAACTGAAAAAGGGCCCAAGGGAGCTCTGCGGAAACCTCTCTGAGTATGATCCAGGTCTCTGCACCACGCTGGCCTCGAACGGTCCTGTGGGCAGATGTCAGCTGCTCTCAGGGGAAAGGAGTGCTGTCTGCCATGACCTTCCTTCCCCAAAGAAGCACCATGCCGACAGGGCACTTTGGGACATGCTGCTCTTCTCTGAGATCTAAGTTCCCAGGCCCTCCTCACTGACCCAGAGGGCAGCCCAGGCAGGAGGAGGGACTCTACCCAGGAGAATGGTCTGCACCAGCCCCTGGTGGGCAGGGAGTGAGTGACCTCACACACTTGCACCCTTGCATGAGATGTTCTTGCTGCAGCCCCGACACAAAAGAAGCGTCTGGCATCTGCTCATGTCCAACATTCTGACCAGGGCCACAGAAGTTCTCAACTAGGCCTGAGAGTCAGATGCAGATGGACGCTTGCTCTGAGGACTCAGAGTCCAAGTGGAGTGGCTCCCTAATGGGGTTTGAGCCCCACAAGGATCCTCCTGTGTCCAGAGACACGGGGCCTGCTTATGCTAGGGACACCATACTCTTCCAGCTCTGCCCTAGAACGGGGGCAAGGCAGGGATGCGGGAGAGAAATGAGGAGCTGTTAGCCTCTGCTTGGGGAGGCCACGAACTACAGACCCAGGGAAGCACATTAAGCTCTAGGCTGGGGCCTCTGGATCCTGCACTTACCTGCACCCAAGGGAGCCTGAATGACCCAGATCCCAGTCTGTGATCCCCCCCGAGCACCCTCTGTCATCACCATAGCCGGCTCTTTCTGCCATGAGACTACAAATACAGTCTGGGGACCCCAAAGCTTCCAACAATCTGCTGTCGTCGGCCCTCTGCAGGCCAGGACTGGGTTTTCCCCACTGGGGCCAGGCATGGGCAGGGCTGCCCAGGGGAGGCAGGACTCACCTGGTTCTTCTTCATGAACAGCTGCACGGTCTGCAGATTCGTGCCATAGTCGGCCAACTGGGCCAGGGGCAGCCTCTCATCCACCCAGAGCTGTAGAGACCAGAAGGCAGAGGCAGCTGATGGCAACAACCACGGCCACCCTTTCCCGAGTGCCGGACAGTGTTGCCAGCAGTGTCTCCTTGGTTCCTCCTGACATCCCATCAGGGTTTTGCCTCATTTTATAGGATATGTGGATATTTTGTTTTTGTTTTTTTTTTTGAGTCGGAGTCTCACTCCATTACCCAGGCTGGAGTGTGGTGGCACGATCGTGGCTTACCACAGCCTTGACTTCCTGGGCTCAAGTGATCCTTCCACCTCAGCCTCCCGAGTATCTGGGACTACAGGTGTGCACCATCACACCCAGTTAAATTTCATTTATTTTTGTAGCAACGAGGTCTCTGTATGATACCTAGGCTGGTCTCAGACTCCTAGGCTCAAGCAATCTTCATGCCTCGGCCTCCCGAAGTGCTGGGAGCCACCGTGCCTGGCCTCAATATGTGGATGTTTGGAACTGGGGTTCAAATAACTTGCTCCTAGTCACACAGTGGACACATGGTGAACTGCATCTCGAGCCCACGCCTATCACCCCGAAGCCCGTGCCTGCCCCATCAGGGCTAACAGGTGAGCTGAGGGCTGGTCAAGGAACACCACCTGACTTTCCCACTGAATGCAGTCCTCACGACAAGCCTGTGAGACAAGGGGTGAGGTGACCAGGCCTCTGAGGCCAACTGCTCCGGGTGGCAGTCAGCTGCCCCGATGGCAGTTGGCGGCTCAGTCTGGGAGTGGGGAGGGGCCGCGGCTCACGCACCGTCTCATCTTCCAAGTCCCGGCTGATCTGCAGCTTGGCTCTGGAAGATTCCAGCTGCTTCTTCCTCCTCCCCAGGGGCTCCAGGAGGTCCAGGAAGCGCCTCTCAATGCTCAGGGTTGCATCTCCTGCCTCCTCCTCTAACGAGGGCACCTGGGCAAACAGCTCTCCCAGCTCCTCCTTCCGCACATTCACTTGGTCCTCCACTCGCTGAGACACAAGGGGATGGTGTCAGCACCGGCCTCGCACCTGGGTGGCGCCCCCCTTCATCTGTATCCCACCCATCCTGCAAGGCCCAGTTGGAGCTCAGCCTCCTCCAAGAAGTCTACTTGGATACCTCCACACATCTTTCCCTCCTCTGAGTGCCCATCCTATGTTTCTCATCATCCTCTGGGATCCCTGTCCCACCCTCTGCAGAAGGGGTAGGACCTGGATAGGGAACCAGGAGACATTTTTGCATGATAAAAGCAGGTCCAGCTCAGAGGAACAGAAGGAGTGCTCCAGATTTGCCCCCACAGCCCCTTCCATCCTAACACCCCGAGTCTAAGCCTGCTCATGTACCTTCAGCTTCGCCAGCATCCGGTTGACACTGGTCAGGTCCTTCCCAGGGTCGTCCGAGCGCAGCTGGTCCTCCATGGCGCTGATCCACTTGTTGAGGTCGGCATGGGTCTGTAAGCGCAGGTCGGAGCTCCTGGCGGCCGAGAGCTGCTGGGTCTTCGCCTTCGTGGTGGCCTGCAGCTCATCCCAGAGCCGGTGCAGGGCTTCCAGCCTCTGGGACACTAGGGTTGCAAACTGGGGCTTTTCCTCTATCAGCTGCTTCCCTTCCTGCAAGGAGGAAGGAGCGCTCAGCCTCCGAGGCCCTGGGAACCACAGACAGCCCTGATCCTAGTGGCTGCAAAAGTCTCCTGGAAGGGAGGTCAGTAGGATGGAGAATCTGCATGGAATGGAAGTGAGGCTCTATGAAACGGACTCTGAACCTCCAGAGTTACATGTAGGGGAAGGCAGGGCAGCGCTGGGGCCAAAGGACTTGGGGAGATCACAGCATGCCTGTAGACAAGGCAGCTGGTGCTAGAAAAAGATCCAGAGTCCATCCAGTGTGAAACCTCCCTTTGGGTTCCAGGTGTTGTGCACTAAACTTCAGTGAGCTCTGTTAGTTACTGAGGTTGCCTTGTCTAGTTTTCACCTGCTCTCTTGTCTTTCTGGGGTGGATACAGCATGATGTGACTTGATCAGGGGAGACACACTGTTAATAATAGTTAATACTGACCAGGCACCGTGGCTCACCCCTGTAATCCCAACATTTTGGGAGGCCCATGTGGGAGGTTTGCTTGAGTCCAGGAGTTTGAGACCAGCCTGGGCAACGTAGCCAGACCTCATCACTACAAAATATGAAAAAATTAGCCAGACATGGTGGAGCATGCCCAAGGTCTCAGCTACTCAGGAGGCTGAGACGGGAAGATGGCCTGAGCCCAGGAGGGCAAGGCTGTGGTGAGCTATAATCGTGCCACTGTACTACAGCCTGGGCTCAGAAAGAAAGTCAATATTTATTGAGTGCTTCGTCATGGCCAAGTATTATTCTAAGTGCTTTGTTTGTCATTATGTATTTATCTATTTATTTTGGGACAAGGTCTCGCTCTGCTGTCCAGGCTGGAGTGCAATGGTGCCGTCATGATTCACTGCCTTGAACTCCTGGGCTCGAGCAATTCTCCTGCCTCAGCCTCCAGGGCAGCTGGGACTACAGTTGTGCACCACCATGCCTGGCTTATCTTTAAACATTTTGTGTAGAGATGAGGTCTTGCTATGTTGCCCACGCTCGTCTCAGATTCTTGGGCTCACATGGTCCTCCCACTCTGGCTTCCCAAAGTGTTGGGATTACAGGTGTGAGCCACCGTGCCTGGTATGTTTTTAAGTATTTAGTGCTCAAAACTCCATTGGGTGGGTACTCCCCTTCTTTGTCTTTTTTTCTTTCTTTCTTTTTAAAATTATACTTATTTTTGCCTTGAGAACATATCTTCCCTTGATTCTTTTTTTTTTTTTTGGAGTCGGGGTCTTACTCTTTTGCCCAGGCTGGAGTGCAGTGGCATGATCACAGCTCTCCCCATAGCCTCGCCCTCCTGGGCTCGGGTGATTCTCCCACCTCAGCCTCCTAGTATCTGGGACTACAGGCATCTGCAACCATACTTAGCTAATTTCTTTTTGATTTTTTGTAGAGATGAGATCTCGCTATGTTGCCCAAGCTGGTCTCAAACTCTTGGGCTCAAGTGATCCTCCTAGCTCAGCCTCTCAAAGTGTTGGGATTACACGTGTGAGCCCCCGCACCCAACCTCATTGGGTAGGTACTTTTATCACTCTCATTTTGTAGATGAAGAAACAGAGGCATGGGGAGGTTTAGAAGTCAGTCTGTCTCCAGGGGCTGTATTGTAACCACTGTTCAACTTGGCCTCCTGTGAACCCTAGGCCTGCTTCTTTATAGACAGCCACTGTGGAGGAAGGCAAAGGTTGTGACTTCCAGATCTAACTCCAGTCACATTTTGACTTATGCACTGGACAATCTTGCCATGGCGGAGGGGGTCCCTTGGTCCAGGATCTACAAAGGGTAGAAATGACCACTCCCCTGCAGTCCTGCCCATCCAAATGATGAGGGTTAGTGGCTCCCCGGACCACCCTGGTCATGTCCTGTGTTCACCTGGCCCTGGGCAGGGCAATGCCAGAGCCCCATGAGGATAATGGAAAGCCAATGGTGACAACTGCTGTCCTGGCACTGGACGCCGAAGCTCTCACTAGGGTGTCCTCAGTGTCCTGGACCGTCCCCAGATTCAGGTGACCCAGAAGAGACACCGATTCTGACCAGGCTTAATAAGACAGGCCGTATCAGGAGCTCTGAAGGCTGGACTACTATTTTAAGAAGTTTTTTTGCCCACCATTTCTACACCATCCATCAAGCGTCAGGATGGTGTCCATGCCTGGCGAGCAGAGTGCGCCACCCCTACCCCCATCGCCGCCATCATGCACGTCACTTACCGCGTCTATGTTCTCCAGCCAGCCCTGGTGGGAAGCCAGCTCAGCCACAAATGCCTGGTGCTTCAGCCACTTGTTGTGAAGGTTTCGTGCTTCATCGAAGGAGACATCCTGAGATGTCAGCAGCTTGTCGTTGATCCAGAGGGTGAGCTGTGGGCAGAAAGAGCAGGTCCGACTGTGCTCAAGTGTATCTCTTTGGCAGCATGAGGTGTGCTGCCCACCCCTAGCTACAGGAGGAGGAGAAGGCCGGGGGGAACACGTGAGCACAGAGGAGAACTCATCTCCAGTGCTGGATCACCAAGTCCCGGCACAGGTGACTTAGCCCATGGTGTGCCAGGGCTAACTGTGGGCATAGCGAGTCTCCCCACTCGAGTGTGTGATGTGAGACCAGGGATATGTTATTCTTCTCTCCAAATTCCTAGGACCTAGGACAAGGCCTGGCATATTATGGATGGATGGATGGATGGATGAATTCATCCTCTGGTACAGGGTGAAAAATTCTTAATAAACTCAAGAAAAATGTTGTTGGAGGAAGAAGCCAAGGGAAGATCCTGTAATTAACAATGAGGATCTTAAACAAGGTGGCATGAGAAACAAACAAACAAACAAACAAAAACGTGGTCCAGGAGTGGTAGCTCACACCTGTAATCCCAGCACTTTGGGAGGCCAAGGTAGGAGGAATGCTTGAGCCCAGGAGTTCAAGACCAGCCTGGGCCATATAACCAGACCTTATCTCTACAGGAAATTTTAAAAAATTGTCCATGCATGGTGGTGCGCACCTGTAGTCCCAGCTACTCAGGAATCTGAGGCAGAAAGACTGCCTGAGCCCAGGAGGCTGAGGCTGTGGTGTGCCATGATCATGCCACTCCACTCCAGCCTGGATGACACAGTGAGACCTCGACTCAAAACGACAACAAAAACAATGAAGGGAGATCTGCAATGAACAGCCAGTGTCTCCAAGATGTTCAGGCATCACACCAAGTCTGGCTTGTGCCAAGAGCAGAGACAGATGAAACAGACTTGTCTGGGCCAGGCGGAAAGGGGTGTGAAGGGGACAGCGAGAGAGAAGTCAGGGAAGGCCTGTTCCACGCGGGAAATCCGGCTACTGGGGGGACCCGGGAGGGCAGATTGAAGGCCTTCCTTGACAGCTGTCCTGGCTGAGCAAGGGCTGCCCGCGCCAACAGTGCTCCAGTGGGGATGCTTGTGAAAGTGCTTCTTTCTCTCTCACCCCTTAAGGCTCTGATTCACCTGGCCCTAGTGAGTCCCAGAGCCTGCTCTGACTAGGGACAGGGTCAGCTCCATCATCTGTGAGGCCCAGAGCAAAATGAGGCTGTGCAAAAGCATGGAGAGTTTTGAGATGGCAGAGGCAGGCCGTAAACAAGGCGCGGGCCCATCTGAGCACATGGTGTGGATGAGCACATAGTCACACACCCCGAAGCCGGCCTGACCAGGGCCCTGGGTGGCTCTAACATAGACAGTTTCAGACTTCGTTTTTTTTTTAAGTCTGGGTCTCCCTCTGTCGCCCAGGCTGGAGTGTAGTAGCACAATCACAGCTCACTGCAACCTCGACCTCCTGGCCTTAGGAGATCCTCCCATCTCAGCCTCCTGTGTAGCTGCAGGAACACGCTACCACGCCCAGATAATTTTTTTTTTTTTTTTGAGTTGGAGTCTCACTCGGTTGCCCAGACCGGAGTGCAGGGGCCGCTCCCGGCCACCGCAGCCTCGACCTGCCGGGCTCCGGCGATCCTTCTGCCTCAGCCTTCCGAGGAGCAGGAATTACCGGCATGCGCTACCACGCCCGGCTGATTTTTTGATTTATTGCAGAGATGAGGTCTCGCTGCCCAGGCGGGTCTCGAACCCACAGGCTCAGGCCATCCACTCCCCTCAGCCTCCCAAAGGCGCGGGATTCCAGGCTGAGCCGCCAATGTGTTGTAGAGATGAGGTCTAGGCTGGTCTCAAACTCCTGGGCCTAAGTGATCCTCCCGCCTCAGCCTTCCAATGTGCGGGGATTTACAGCCATGTGCTGCCGTGCCCAGCCTTAGACCACTCTTGAGAAACCCTGACCTAGGTCTAGATCTGGCAGATGAAGAGTGACTTTTCAGATTTGAAAAAATGAGTAGTGCAACAAAAAGATGCTAGAAGATGACCTGCCTGCCAAGTACCCAGAAATCCCCACTCAGGGAATCCCACAGCTCTTGGGGGACTCCTGTGGAGTCCCACCTCTAGGGCACGTCTAGAACGAACCCCTTGCAGGGGGCGCCTGACTGGCGAGAGCCTTACCTCCTGGCAGTTCTGCAGGAAGTTCTGCAGCTCCAGGTTGTCTTTCAGGAGGACGGAAACCTCCTGGGCCTTCTCGTTGTTTTTCCTGTGCCTGGAAAGGAAGCCAAAGCCGCGGTCGTGACAGCGCCACACGCGGGATCCTCCCGGCGCACCACAGCCCAGCGTGGCTCTTGGGCCTGCCCTGTGGCCCCATGGCCCCAGGAGTACCTGTCCTCGATCAGCTGCACCTTCTCCTTGATCTTGTCTGAGTACAGGTTTCCCTCGGCCACCAGCTGGTTCCCAGAGTCCACAGGACTCATGACCTTGTCCCGGTTGTTCTCCATCAACACCAAGAACTCCTCAAAATTCCGGATCCCAGCCTCTGCCTCTTGGAGGGAGTCTGAGGGCTTCAGGCGAGCCAGGAAATATTCCTGCCAAAGCAAGTTTCCAGACCGGGCGTGGGGACACGCTGGCGGGAGGTGAGGGTGTCCGCCAGCAGGAACCATGCAGGCCACGTGTGAATGGCGCCCCCTAGAGTTGTGTGAGGGGGAGGCTCTACCCCTCCCCACCAGGCCTTGCCCCTTGCCCACCCCAGGGGCGCTCAGTGAACAGTGTACCACGCAGACAGGCGACCATCCAGGGCAAGATTCGCTTCTCTAGCCTCCAACTGACCCAAGAACAAGGTATCGTTTGGGGTCCGGGGCTGGAAAAGGTACCTCACGGCGGGGAGGACAAGGAGGATTTCCCTTGTTCCGAGGAGTGAATACAGAGTCACTGGTCCCCTGGCCGATGGCACATTTGCAGACTCACCATCGGTGCCGCCGCCCCTAGCCCTGAACGCCCCTCTCTACCTGGTTGCTGAGCATGGCTTCGGCCTGCTTGGCGTCTTTCTGGAATTCCTGGAAGCCGAGGCACTGGGCGAGGGACCGGCCGCGGCTCTCCCACATCCGGCGCAGGGCGTCCCAGCCGGTGTCCAGGCCTTCCAGCCGCTGGCCCAGAAGCAGGTACTCTGGGTCCGTCTGGCCTCGGGTCACCTTCTCCCCGGCCTCCTTGACATGCCGGTAGCTCTCCTGGTGCCCGTCGATCTCGTCCTTGATGGCCGCGTGCTGCTGCAGGAGCTGCTCGGCTTCTGGGAGCGACTCGGGCGTGTCCTCGGAGGCCACGGCCTTCTGGGCCATGGACAGCCAGGCCTGAAAGTCATCCAGCTCCTGCAGGAAGGCCTGCAGCTGGCTGGCTTCCCCCAGGGAGGCCTCCTGGCCCTGCAGGGCTCGCTGCAGGCCCTGCCACAGCTCCTCCACATATGCCTGCCGCCGGCCGATATCCTCCTTCAGGTCAGGGTGTGACTTCATCAGCCGCTGTGACTCCCGCTCCAGGGACCCCACACGGGCCTGGATGGCGGCCACATCGCGCTCCAGGCCCGACAACTTGCGCTGGATGGCGATGACACCCGCCAGGTCCCGCCCCAGCTCCTTGGTGGACTCCACCACCTTCGTCTTGTCTGTGATCCACTTGCTGGTCTCCTCGCAGTCCACACAGTAGTTATGCACTCGGAGGGCCGAGTCCACCGCCTCCCGCCGCTTGGACACCATGGCCTGGAATGCCTGCCACCTGCCGGGCGGAGACACAGCCAGGGAAACTCTCACCTCTTCCCCCAGGACATCCGTCCCCAGACTTCCCATGAGTCTCCCCCCACAGACTTTGTATGCTGAAAAGAAAAGAGTTTTCTACCTGACACACTATTGGTGAGCAAAAGTACGTATCCAATGTTACTCAGGACAGAGGACTGTCTCGCAGCACAATTCACAATTGCAAAGACTTGGAACCGACCCAAACACCTATCAACCGATTAGTGAATAATGAAATTATGGTATATATACACTAGGGAATACTACTCAGCTATCAAAAAGAATGAAACAATGTCTTTTGCAGCAATGTGGATGGAGCCGGAGAACATCATCCTAAGCAAACTAACTCAGGAACAGAAAACCAAACACCACATGTCCTCACTTGTAAGTAGGAGCTAGGGCCAGGCGTGGTGGCTCATGCCTATAATCCTAACACTTTGGGAGGCCAAGGTGAGGGATTGCCTGAGCCCATGGGTTCGAGATCAGCCTGGGCAACCTGGCAAGACCTCATCTCAAAAATAAATCAAGAAAAATTAGCTGGGCATGATGGTGCATGTCTGTAGTTCCAGCTACTTGGAAGGCTGAGGCAGAAGGATCTCTAGAACCCAGCAGGCTGAGACTGCAGTGGCTGTGAGTGTGCGCCTGCACTCCAGCCTGGGCAACAGAGTGAGACTACGACTTAAAAAAAAAAAAACGTGGGAGCTAAAGTAAGGATCCTCAAAGGCACAGAGAATGGTTTCATGGACACTGGAGACTCAGCAGGGGGAGGGGCAGAGGGTGGACGGAGGAAAAGTCACCTCTTGGGTACAATGTGCACAGCTGGGGGTGGTGGGTACTCTTAAAACTCAGAAATAGTTGCATCCCCCAAATTTTTAATGGCAAAAAGAGAAAGGAAAAGACACAACTGCCAATCAGCTCTCTGGAACAGCAGGGGGCACATGAAAGTAAAGGCACAGGAAAAGGAGAGGCTGTGCGTGTAGCCGGATTTCAGACAAATATGCCATTTCCCCAGAGTTTATGCAATACGAGAAATACATTATCAACTCCCAGAATGCTTCAGGACATAATCCCCATTCCCCTCCCTCCCCTCCCCTCCCATGCAAATGCCCCAGGCCACAAAGTGCCCCAGGCCCTGAAAAAACCACCTTGGATCTGAGAGAAAAATAGGTCTGGTGAGAAAGAGGAGGAAGAAGGGGAGGAGGAGGAAGAAGCTGAGAATTTCATGTAAAATGAGCCCTGTGAGCTCAACCTTCAAGGGCAGGTATTAAGGCCTCTCAGATGTGGGGAGGGCCTGGGATTTCCTGGCAGCACACAAAAAGCCCCTTTTAAAGAGCTGCTCAAGGGCCAGGTAGGTATGATAGCTCACACCTGTAATTCCAGCATTTTTGACGAGCCCAAGGTGGGAGGATTGCTTGAGCCCAGGAGTTCAAAACCCTCCTGGGCAACATAGCGAGACCTAGTCCCTACAAAACCTTAGCAGAAGATAGAAGGATTGCCTGAGCTAGAAGGTCCAGGCTACAGTGAGCCATGATCGTGCCACTATATTCCAGGCTGGGCGACAGAGTGGAAAAAAAAAAGAGCTGCCCCGTCAGCCAGGTCAGACCACCAGGGCCACTGCCTAATTAAGCTCATCTCTTGAACACAGACCTGGCCTGTGGAGTGTATGATTTAGAAAGAAATTCAGACAAACCCCAGAATAACAACAGCATATAAAGTGCTATGTACACAGTACCTATCAGGGAGAGGACTGAGGGGGGCTGGGAGGAGCCACTGGGTGATGGTGGCAGCTTCTGTGGAGGTCACCTGAGCTGCATCTCAGCGAACAGACCCTCGGTGGCTCCACTGGAGTGACCAGCTTAAGGATGGGACCAAGTATCTCACTCATCTTTGTCCCAGCCCTGGAGAGCAAGGCAGATTGCACTGTGGGCATTCCCAAGGTGATTCCAGCAGCGAGTCTGTTTTTTATTGCTGTTGCTTTTATTTTGTTTGTTTTTTGTTTTTCGTTGTGGTCTTACTCTGCTGCCCAAGCTGGATACAGGGGCACAATCATGGCTCACTGCAGCCTCCAACTCCTGGGCTCAAGCAATCCTCCTGCTTCAGCCTCGTGAGTAGCTGGGACTACAGGTGTTTGCCACCATGCCCAGCTAATTAAAACAACACTTTTTTGGTAGAGATAAAAATCTCGCTATGTTGCCCAGGCTGGTCTCAAACTCCTAGGCTCAAGTGATCCTCCAGCCTTGCCCTCCCAAAGTGCTGGGATTGCAGGTGTGAGCCATCACTCCTGGCCTGCTAATCTGGTTTGAAAGACAGGTCAGAAACGAGAAGCAAGAGATGTGCTGAGATGGATTGGGAGAGAGAAACCCTGAAGATCTCTCAGCTCCTGTTTTAGCCGGTGAAGACCATACGCTCTGGGGAATTCTATGCCTGCCTGGCACACAGCTGGTGCTGAGGCAGGGAAATCCGGGAACAGGAGCTGAGGGTTTTCTCTAGGTTGCTCTGAAACCACTGCCAGTTGACAGGGAGGTGCTCCTGGGAGAGGGTCTGGCCGTGTCCCCAGGCACGAGCCTCATGGTCTCATGGAGATACTCCTGGCCTTTACCACTGTGGTCTCACCGCAGCCACTGAGTAGAGGCCACACAAGGGACAGGCTGGGGCTTGGGTCTAGTCTGCCTCCCAACCCCACACTTTCCCCTGCACTGCGCTGTCTCTAAGATGAAGCAAGTTGACAGGGTCTCTCTAGTTAGCACCAGCCCTACAACACGGGAGTCCAGGCTGAGTTCTGGACCCTGTGGCAGAGAGGGGCTGATAATAGTTAAAAGTATTCCTTTTAAAAATCAACCTGCAAGCTCCAGACTTGCTAGATGATGAGATGTGAGAAAATCAAATAGCCAAAGGTCACTTTCCTGAAAATGCAAGATAGTAATCCATTCACAACTTTACCTCCACATCCTCTCTTTGTGAAGTTATAGGTTTACAACCCCTGCTTGTCCCGTGTACCCTAGAAACAATTTGTTCTTTGAAAATCTGGTGTTGCCAGGCTCAGTGGCTCAGCCTGTAATCCCGCGCCTTTGGGAGGTTGAGGTGGGTGGATTGCTTGAGCCCGCGGGTTCGAGACCCGCCTGGGCAACTTGGCAAGACCTCATCTCTAAAACAAATCAAAAAATCAGCTGGGTGTGGTAGCGCATGCCTGTAATTCCGGCTACTCGGAAGGCTGAGGCGGAAGGATCACCGGATCCCCAGCAGGTCGAGGCTGCAGTGGCCGGGAGCAGCCACTGC